TATTTCTCCTGGAATTGATTTTGTTGTGTTTTTTTTTTAAATTATTCATTTTAGCTAAATTTTCAATTTTAGTGATATAAGGCCATTCCAACTATTCTTTTAATAACCTTTTAATCTGTCATTATGTTCCCCTTTTTATTTCTGTTTGTGAATTTTCCTTTGTTTTCTTAACCTTACCAGTGTTTTTCTATTAGTTGTTTTTTTTAAANACCTTTTAATCTGTCATTATGTTCCCCTTTTTATTTCTGTTTGTGAATTTTCCTTTGTTTTCTTAACCTTACCAGTGTTTTTCTATTAGTTGTTTTTTTTTTTAAAAAAAACTTTTATATCTTTGTTTTCTATTTAATTTCTGTTCATTTCTGTTCTTATTAGTTTTATTTTGCCTGTTATGTTACATTGTTGCTTAGTTTATCAGTATTCAGATTTAATATTATAAAACTTCTTAAGGCAGTCAATGTTTCCAAGTACTGCTTTAGCTATGTTCTACAAGTTTTGATATGTTCTACTGAATTTCAGTTCTAAATATTGTCAATTCCAATTATTTTTATTTGTTTTTTGTTTATTGGAAGTATGTTTTTAATTTCTAAATGTATGATGTTTTATTAGTTATCACTGAATTATTGTATTGAAGTCAGGTAATGTGGTTTGTGTGGTATATATCCTTTAAAGTTTTTTGAGGCTTGCTTTCTAGCAATTTTTATATATATTTTTATGCATAAAAATTTATTAGATATAATGGATTTTATATGTCCATTAGATTACAATAAGTAAATGTGCTATTCAAACTATAGCCTAATTGATATTTTTATCTATTAATTACTGGGAATATTTTAAAAATCTCCCACTGTGGTGATGGATTTATTAATTGTCATTTCGTAGTTATATAAATTCTTGCTTTATGTATTTTGACCTATATGATTAGTCTCACACAAGTTTAGAACTTTTATCTATCTACTTGGTGAGTTAAACCTTTTATTATTATATTATGACCAGATCTATTTCTAGTAATATTTTATGTTAAAATCTGTTTTATCTTTCATTAATTTAGTTAATCCACCCCTTTTGGGGGGGGGGGCTTATGTTTGCCGGATATATTTTATTCTATTCTCCCACCTTATCTTTTTTAAAAAGGCACAATTTAATGAAATTCGTAAATTCATAGAGTTGTATATCAATCACCACAACCTGGTTTTAGAACATTTTCATTGCTCCCTAAACTTTCCCCTTGACCATTTGTGGTTAATTTCTGCTCCCATTTCCAGCCCACAACTGATCTGCCTTTTTACTCTATAAATTTGCCTTTTGAACATTTCATATAAATGCAGTTATATACTGTCTAGTCTTTTCCACCAGGTTTCTTTGACTCAGCATAATTTTTTGACACTCACCCATTTTGTAGCATGTTCGCTTCTCTTTGTTGGTGAATATTGTCCCATCCCAGGCTATATTTAAGATTTTTTCCTTTGCTTCAATATTCTACCATATTATTATGTACCGTGTTTGGGATTCACTGGGATTCCTAAATCTAAAACTCTCAACAGCTCTGCAAAATTGTCAGACATCATCTTTTTAAATACTAACTTCCACCCTAGTCTCTCTTGTTCTGTGTTACTAGAACTCTGATATATTTAGATTTTAGGCCTTCTAATTTAATTCCTTCATGTCCTTCAACTGCTCACCATATTTTTCTATCTCATTTATATTCTGAATGATTTCTTTTTTTTTTTTTTTTTAATATACCTTTATTGATTTCAGAGAGAGGAAAGAAGAGGGAGAGAGAAAGAGAGAAACATCAATGATGAGAGAGTCATTGATCGAGCCTGCAACCCGGGCATGTGCCCTGACCGGGAATCGAACCCTGATCGCCTGGATCCCAGGTTGATGCTCAAACCGCTGAGCCACGCCCGGCCGGGCCTGAATGATTTCTTTAGATTCATCTATGAGTTCAAGTGTTTTCACATCTTCTGCTTCTAATTTGTTATTAAACCTATATGTTAAGTTTTTCTATCCAAATATGTATTTTTTTATTTCTAGAAATTTGATGTCTTCTTTTCCTATTTATACATTATTTCTATAAACATGTAAAACGTTTACTTTGTATTTGGTGTCGGGTAATTTCAGTATCTGAAATCTGTGCATATCTAAATCTGCTGTCTATCGTTTCTGATCATTCTCATTCATGCCGTCCCATTTCCTTGTATGTATTGGGATTTTGGGCTTTGAAATCATGATCCTTGATCTAATGCACTCTTTGAGTCCTGATTGTAAGTGTATTGCTTCGGAGCAGGTTTGTTTTGTTTCTTCTTGGAAGGTTTGTATATAATTCGTCGAAGTGGTGGCACTAGGCAACTGTAGAGGGAAATTATATTGCTACTATAAGACATGATTCTTTTGGGTCTACTTTTTAGTTACTTCATTTACATGATATATAAACATAGTGTAGGGAAGCTCTAACACGGTATCCAAATTTTTCCCTTCTATGAACTTTGTTCCCTTTTTCATTTCTTAATGTTTTTAGTTACCAGAAAGAAAATATTTCAGGTTTTAAGACAGCTGAGGGGGTTTGAAGCCAAGTGTGTAATGGCAAATGCCTTAAATAGCAGGTTTTGAACATCTTTAACTGAAGGCCAAAACTCCATGATGAGCTAATGAAGCAGACACTTGTCTCTCTACTTTATAGGGTCTGGCGAATGACTCTGCAGTGTCCTCTCTTTATATCCCGCATGTTGTAATGGATGATGCCATCAGAAAGTCATCTCTTTGTGCAAGCAGAGGTATTAGCCTTTGGATGTTACTCAACCCACAAGCTAATTAAATCCTTACTTTTCTGTTTCTTTTCTTCTCTTTCCATAATTGTACAAATCATTTAAATATAGTATATGCATATTTTGTAGGCTTATGGTTAAGGACATCCTATGACCAAGTGGTTTCTTCCATCCACTGGTCCATATATAAAAAAAGCAGTATTTTATATACAGATTGTAAAATATATTTTACAGTAAAAAGGAGCAGAAGGACAGCATTAAGTCTGAGTCAGATTCGCATTTCTTATTAATTGCTTACACAGACATGTATTTCAGTACTTTTCCAATACATTTCAGGGTTTCTTCTAGAGGAAAACATTTCTCTGTTTAAGGTGCTATCATTATCTGTGGATTAGAAAATACTAAAATCAATACATTGAAATCCAGTGCTGTCATATGTGATAGTTGTGGTTTTTAAGACAGCTAACATAAATGATTTTCTTCCTCTAAAATCTCCCTTTCAAATAACCTAAATCATTTTCATGAATATGGGGATTTTGCTTTCCTTTGATTAAGTACAAATGCCTGGCCTATTGTTGTTGTTTAATAAACTTTTGTTCTGTGAATGAAAGAAATGTCCCATTTTTGATCTGGGAATTCATGTTATATATCTTACCAGATTCTACAATTTTGGAGGCATCACTTCAAATTCTGTGGTCTTAGGAAATATATTTTGTAATTCAAATAGTTATTCTTTACAGTTACATTTAGTAGTGGGTGGTGGGGTTGAGGTTGGAGGACCCTGCCTCTTAGGGCATCCCAAACTAGTATTGAGGCTAAGTGTAGAACTTGTAGGTAGCCCCAGTCGAAACGGTTTTCCTCCAGACCAAAAGAATGGGTCAAATTGAATATGTGTTTAAATCTGTTCATGTACCTGATATTAAAAAACCCAGATATTTCAAATTCTTAAAGACGTCCATTTAGTTGCATTTTTGAGAGGAAGATCATTGAATACTGGCATAAGTATTTCCTTGAACATGTCAAGTCTCATTCCACACAACAAGGTCACTGCTGAAAAGGGATTTAATTTTTTGGGGGTCCATTTAGCAATAAATTTGGCATCTTTTGGGGGTGGTTGGGGCAAGAAAGAGGGTGTTGATTACTGGCAATTTTAATTCCTGAAAGTGAAAATGTCCAAGGCCAAACCATCTTGGGTTGGACACATTCACCAGGATTGACACTTTGTTTACACAGAGATAGTCAGGCATCCACTATCAACCCAAGATCTTAGATAAAACAGTGATGTAATCTTCTGTCTGAATACAGATACTGGGTCCTGGTATGTTAAGTTTTCAGATCAGTAATGCGAATGGAGGTCAAGGTAGTTTGACTCTGACTTGACTAGGGAGAACGCAAGGTTTTCTGAAAAGAGGGCATTGTATTAGATTGTAAGGGACAGAGGCTTACTTAAAATGGGCTAAGCAATACTTTGGGGAACATACTACACCACCTTTGGGTGAGTTCCTTCACTTAATCTTCTTGTTCTGCAGCTGTATCTATCATGATAGTCAATCAATCTATTGAATGACTTTTTCAAAATTTTTTTATAGTAGCAGCTCCACTTTAAAAAGAATTACCCCCCCCCCCTTATCCCCTACTTCATACCCCTGTTTCTTGCTTCCAGTATTCTCTGTCCTTGAAGGTATTTTATATGCTTAGTTTCAAATCTGGGTTTTGCTCTATCAATTCTGCTTTAGCACACACTATACAGAATTCTTCTTTCAGTGTTTATGCTCCTAAGATGCTGCATTGCTCTCCCCTCCGAGTTCATAGTCCTCTGAGCACATTTGCTGTCCTAGGTAGTGATGTGTGAGGGGACCCTCTTGATGAATTTAGTAGGATGGTGGCTGATATTTTTCCCTTGGAGAGTTTTAAAAATGGGCCCTTGGAATGGGGCCAAAGGGGAGGAGGGGAGGAGGAAATGCTTGAGGGTGGACAGATCTTCTTATTCATTTTGTTACCACTTTGACTCCCAGGCTGGCTAAGAGCTGTACCTGACTCATACTCCTTCTCCTCCAGTGGGCAGCTGCTCTCCCGACTCGCGGTGGTGATGGGGTGGAGGGAAAGGGCATGCACAAATGCTCCCTTTCCCCATCCACTGCCTCCTTGAATCTCAAGGGTTGCCTGAGTTCTAGTGGAAGAAGCTAGGAAGATGCGAGATTGCTGGAGATGAGTGGCAGCTGCTGGATGACTCAGTGGTGTGGCTGGACCTCGTGTATGTCAAGGAACAGGGAAGTAGGTATTTGTGCAACACACATCACTGCTTCCTGGTCTCTGCTATCAGTAAATTGGTTCTTGAAAGCACCCTCTCCCCTGTTGTTATATTTCATTGCCTGACCCAGACAGCATAACTCATCCTACCTGGGATGAGCCAACAACTCCAGAAACCTTTCCTTGGACCCTCACCTTCACGGTCTCATGGCCCACAGGGGGTTCCATAATTACGAGAGAGTCTTTTGTGTTTCATCATTTATGTTTCTGTCTGATCAGTAATCCTTTGTCTTTTTCAGGCAGCTGATGTGGCAGTCGTATTAACAGGCAGTTATAAAAACCAAGCATCTGTAAATCCTTTTGATAAATATTTGTGAAATTTCAAAATCCTCACGTCTGAGCAGTGTAAGTTCATCTGCAAGACAGTCTCCTGGGAAAGCCATGCTGGCCACGGGAACTTCCTCATGGAGGGGCGAGGGGTAGGGAACTCAGAAGAGTCTTCGGCAAAGATGAATTAGCCTTCATAGAAGTCAGACACTTTCAGACACTGGTACTAAACTCTACTGAGATCAGACAATAAAGTCTTTGCTTTGAGGACTGGGAGAGTTGGGGGATCAAAAAGTCTGGCAAAAAAAATAGTTCACAAGAGAAGTCCCTGAAGTTTGCTCTCCGCATCTCTTAGAACAGCAAAATTCTATATAAAGTATTATTATGAGGAAGAAAATTTAAATGAAGGTTATATAAATTTAAAACTATAAATATGTAAAAAAATATATACTTTAAAATAACTGTCATCTTTGGGATACTTTTTTGAATTTTGAAATTGGACAAAAATATCTCCCTTTTTACTCAAGCCCTCCCTAAAATTGACTGACATACTAGCTAAAAAAAAAAGATAGGAGAAAGTAGACTCCCAATTGGACCAACTCAATGGTCTGGACTCTGTACTATAACATTAGAAAATAGCTTTCTTTTCCTCCTACCATTTTTGAAAATTTCTCTGTCATTTATTCCTTCCTCACACCTACATGATATTTTCTGGTCACTTTCAGTTTCATTTCTAAGGTATTAAAAGTACAGTCTGAACTAAACTGAACTTCTCATACCCAGTTTCAAGCTTTTTTACTTTCTCTTGAGTCACACCCAGAGGGTAGGGAAGGGATGGNGAACTTCTCATACCCAGTTTCAAGCTTTTTTACTTTCTCTTGAGTCACACAGAGGGTAGGGAAGGGATGTNTTTCAAGCTTTTTTACTTTCTCTTGAGTCACACCCAGAGGGTAGGGAAGGGATGGGTCAGTCTCTGCTCTTTCTTGCTTCCTATCTTCCAGACTTGCCATCCTTTGCCTCTGGATCCTTCAGGACTAGATGGGACAGTGGAGTCAGACATAAAGGAAAGAAAAAAGTTGTATACACTCAGCTGGCGCTGTTTGGAGATCTATCTCAACTGTCAAGGGCTCTCTGGCATGACAGGCTTTTAACACTGGCTCTTTCTTTAATAGGGCAACGTTGTGTTTTTGTTTTTCTAAATCATCAGCACCCTGTCCCTCCCCCAGCTCTGACCTCACATGTCTTGCTGTGGGGAATGTGCTGACCCACTCCATCTAGCTCTCTTTGCCTGCTCTAGGGGTACCCGCCACTCCACAGCTTTACCTACACTGGGCTCACTCAGTTGTTGGCAAGTGACAGGTTGTCTTGGGTGAAGCTCTTTCAAGGTTACTCATCCCAGTGTCTCCTATAGTCTCCCAACTCTGGTAATTGAGGCCACTCCCAAGAAGTTTTCACCCTTTCTACTTATAGTACTCAAAGTGCAGACAGGACCACACGTTTCTACAGTTTGGGAAGAATGAGGACAGCAGGGTGCATGTAGGAGCCTTCATTAGCATCCCCATATCCAGTCAGATCCCATAGAAGGCACAATGTATGTAAGTGAAACAAGGCATAGACAAACTAATTGGAGGTACTTACATTGTTTTAGTTCTGTATCAAGGCCAAATAGTAATACTAAGTTTTTATTGGACAAATATGGATGGTAGGAAAAATCAAGATGACTAGGTATTTAAGATGATTAGTTTTGGGGACAAATGGATGTGTTTTAAGACTCAACAATCTGGGATAAGATCTGCCTTCTCTATGCTAAGTACTACACTGAAGACCACTAACCAACAGCCTGAATCCACACAGGAGTTCCCGATTGGGTCAAGTCAGTTACAAAGGAGAGTTGGGAATGTTTTTCTCTAAAAGCGCCTGTAGATGTCACTAAAGTAAATGGCTCTTTTATCCTTGATTTGCTAGTGGGGCCAAAAGCCCACAAAAAAGTAAAGTAAAAAAAAAAGGTATTTTGTGAAGTCCATCTATGTTGTTTAATTAACAACATCGTGCAACATAGCAACAGTACCATAATTCACAGGAAGTTTACAAATTGCCCTTCCGTTTTAGAGCACTGATATATATTAAACAATGAAATTTCCCTCAGCAATAGTCTTCGGTTTCTAGCAGGGCGGGGAAATCACTCCATCCTCTCTTCCGTCACAGCCAAGCTCCTTTCAGGGCAGGAGACACATTTTCTGTCATTTACCATAAGCGACGTGGACTTCAAGCGAAGAATATTGATGCCTCATGAAAGAAAAATAAATCACATAGGCATTGACTGTACAAGGTGAAGGCAAGTGGAGAAAACATTTTAAAGTGTGCTGGGAGCAGCATTTGATTCTAAAAGCATTTAAATGTGTGTTTTGTTTTGTTTTTCTTCTGCACTGGTTGTAAAGATAACTATAAACTTTGATCATCTAGAAAATATAATCTTTCCCCTCTCCTTCCAGGGAAGGGAAATGCAGTGAAAATGATCAGCTAGGAAGTCCATCTAAGCTTTCATTGCCTGGTATGTATGTATGTGTGTGTGTGTGTGGGGGGGGGGGTTAATGATGTTTCCCAGGAGCACTTGGCACCTGTATTTCCATACAGTAGAGGATGTTTTCTGCTGGGACCATATTCTGTAGGCTAGTCTTCTCACTAAAAGGCTAGAACATTTTATCACAGGACAGCCAAGATTGAGATCCACCAAAAGAATGCTCAGTGAAGTTTACAGAGACTCAGAGCCCTGTTAACAGAGTGTGAACAGACCTCCTTGTGTTAGCAAGAGTGTTGTAGGCCTCACTGGAAAAATAAGTGGTACTTAAAGTGAAATCCAAGCAACTGAAAATGTAGATCCTGAGAATAAGACCTCTGAAAAAAAGTTATGTGTCAATGAAAGATGGCTTAGGGCAGAAAGACAAAGTACTGAGAATTATCAATGGAATCTAGAAGAAAAATACCTAGTTATTCTAGAGGAAACATTATCATCTGTTCCATGTGAGGAAGGATTGAAAGTTAGCAGTAAGATCCATTGTATATTTCTTATACATTTGATGAATAATCATATGTAACTGGTAAAATATAATTTTATATATTGCAAAGAAATATATTTAGATTCTAATTCTAAGAAAAAACTTAAGCATTTTCTATTGATCCCATTTTTGTCCTTATGAAGGCCTATAATGAGAACCCTTGTTGATATTATTACTTATAGATATCTGAAGATAATGGACCCTAAGTGCATAATCTGGTCATGACACTGGTGTTCACACTGGAAAAAATCAAGTAAACAGCATCCTTTACAAAATTTTGTCTTAATGACACTAATTTATACTTGGAAATTTTTCCTCTTTGGTAATATTACTACAAAAAGAAAATTATTCCATTCAATTGATATAGTAAAATAAAATGTTATGTGTTAAAGAGGGTTCTCAAAAAGTTAAACAGAATTACCAGATGGCCCAGCAAGTCCAGTCCTAGCCCAAGAGAACATATATTCACACAAAGATTTTTACATGAATGTCTGAAGCAGCATTAGTCAATAACCAGAAGGTAGAAACAACCCAAATGTCTGCCAACCGATAAATGAATAAATGAAATCTCTCTCTCTCTCTCTCTCTCTCTCTCTCTCTCTCTCTCTCTCTCTCTCTCACACACACACACACACACACATACACACTGAAATCTTATTTGGCAATGAAAGGGAATGTGGTATTGATACCTACTATAACAAGGATGAACCTTGAAAAGATTATATTAAGTGAAATAAATCATCCAAAAAAGACCAAATAGTGTATAATTCCATTTAGATGAAATTTCCAGAATAGGCAAGTGGGTAAGTCTATAGAGACAGAAAGGAGATTAGTGGCTGCCAGGGGTGGGTTGGGATTGGGAAACATAGGAAAGAGGACATTAGGAGGTGACTGCTAATGGGTTTGGGGTTACTTTTGGGGGTGAGGAAAATGCTCTGGAATTAGATCATGGTGATGCATAACTTAGTAAATATACTGAAAAAAATCACTGAAGTGCACACAGTACAATAATTTCATGGCACATGAATTGTGTTCTGAGAGGGAGGGGGGAGAGAGATTTTCTGTTGGGCATCATAGTGAAATCAGTTTGAGCTTCCTCCATTAATACTTCTAGGAAGGAAAAGTTTGTTTTTTGATCAATTCAAGTAGAAAAGGGCAATTCATAAGATTCCACCTCTCTCCTTTTTCTTGCAGGGATAGAGACAAGCGTCTTGGAGATGTGCAAAATATGCTGGGGTGGGAAGAGGGACGTAATCTTTTATTAGTCACTCTGAAGGAGACCATTTCCCCCTGTGCAGCTAGATCAATGAATACAGATGAGTCACTGCCCAAAGTAAATGAGTCACATTAAATTTTGGGGGTGAGGGATCCTAAAATAGACAGTGGACTTTTATATTAAGCAATAACAAATCTACAGAGTTTTGTGTGTATATGCATAGAAATCATATGTGAAACCAATTTAAATATTTCTGTGTTTCTGTTTTTTGTTTCTTTTGTGCTAAATACAATCACACCCAGAAAGGTCTTGATAATCACTCTAAAAATTACAAGCATAATTATTTTAAGGACAATAACATTTTAGCAGAAATGCCTTCTGCAGTAACCTTTTCCTTCTAAACAATATGAAGAAACTACATTCAGGTCAAGACAATCCTGTCATTACATAGTTTACTCCAGTGGCTTTCAATATAAAGTGTGTTTATAAAACCCAGTGGAGTTTTATAACTAGAACAGCCCCAAATAGGCTTCTAATGATAACATCTGCAGGCTGATGTTTTGAAGTATTTTCTCATAGTCTTGGGACAGTTCCTTTATGTTTCACCATGTGCTATTGCTCCTTCAGCTCAGGATGAATTTGNATGTGAAACCAATTTAAATATTTCTGTGTTTCTGTTTTTTGTTTCTTTTGTGCTAAATACAATCACACCCAGAAAGGTCTTGATAATCACTCTAAAAATTACAAGCATAATTATTTTAAGGACAATAACATTTTAGCAGAAATGCCTTCTGCAGTAACCTTTTCCTTCTAAACAATATGAAGAAACTACATTCAGGTCAAGACAATCCTGTCATTACATAGTTTACTCCAGTGGCTTTCAATATAAAGTGTGTTTATAAAACCCAGTGGAGTTTTATAACTAGAACAGCCCCAAATAGGCTTCTAATGATAACATCTGCAGGCTGATGTTTTGAAGTATTTTCTCATAGTCTTGGGACAGTTCCTTTATGTTTCACCATGTGCTATTGCTCCTTTAGCTCAGGATGAATTTGTATGTTTCAGCTATTGAGCATCATTAGCCATTTTTAGGCATATATATATCACTTGCAGGCAAGAACAAAGACAAAACAGTAACAACAAAACTATCCTAAAGTGAACAGGTAAGGTGCATTTTTGCTTAAATTAAATAATAACTTCTGATTTAAAATGGTAGACTTAGCACAGGCATTTCTATTCCTTCCCTCTTGAAATCCCAATATATAATAATAAAGGAATCCACTCGTAAAATTGAGACAACAGGGGGAGAAATATTCTTGGGAAAGATTCCAATACATTTCTAGAAGATGTGAGGAAAAGATGAAACTCTGTTGACAGATTGAAAACGCATAAGTCACAGCAGCTCAGCATACACAGGCAGGAATGCAATGATAAAGAGAGGCCTGAGCAGTATAGCAGAACTGCAGAGATGATCCCAGCCCAGGAGCGTAAAAACATGACTGCGAAGGGAAGCCCAATCACGAGATTAAAGCTGAGGTGACCATTGAATGAAGAGGATTGCCACACCCCCACGTCCCAAGACTGGTGGAACTCAGGCGTTTCTAGGCAGCCTGATATATGTCACTTGCCAGCAAAAACAAAGACAAAACACTAACAGCTAAACAATCCTAAAGCTCTAAAGATATCAGTTGCACTGCAATTATGAAATCAGGTCTTCCAGAGAAATCCCTCCTCATTGTGGCATTTGGAGCTCTGTCCCCATCCCAGCCTAAATGCCTTCTCCTTCATTGCCCACCCACAGAGGAGGCCTGCCAGTAGACCAGTTCTGCCCATGTACAGAGCTTTGAGCCAGGCATCATCTTTATGTGGGAGACCTACACATGAAATTAAAATACATAAACAACTCCCTAGGAGACTCATAGTTTTTAATCTTAGAAAATTAACTCAATTCACTCTTCTTCTTTATAGAAATTCAGCCAAAGATTATTAAAAATATGAATGAAACCAGAAGGGTAAAAAAAAAAAAAAACAAGAATATTAATTTCAGAAGAAACACAGATAATTTAGGGGGAAAGAGAAATAGAAATAAGTTAATTATCATCCTCATGAAAATTACAAAGGATATTGCATCCAAAAACAAGAGAGAAAAATATAATGGGTAACAAAAATAAGTTCTTTTAGATTGAAGATATGATTGCAAAAGTTTAATGGTTATGAAGATGAAATTAAGAATATCAGAAAAAGAGAAAAAGAGGCTCCTGCCCTGCCCCTCCCCCCAAAGAAAATGAATGAGAAACATGAAGGATCAATCCAGGAAGCCTGATATTGACCTAATAGGGTGTCTGAAAAAAATAAAAAGGAACAGGAAAATGGAAGGGAGGGAGTTAAAAAATTGAAGAAAACCTTCCAATAGTAAAGTACAATAATTCTTTCAATTATAAAAGTCCACTGAATTCCCAGGACGATGGAAAAAATCCATATCTAAAATTTCAGAACACAAGGAATTAAACAAAAGAACTCAAAGTTCATAGTTGTGATGCAGAGGGCATGTCATATTTATGATTCATGAAAATGAATCAGACTGATATCAGACATTCCCCAACAACGCTGGATCCTAGAAGCAATAAAACATTGCCTTTAAAGCTCTGAGAAAATTTCTAGGCTTAGTCGCAATTGCAATTACGTACGACGGTAAAATATAGCTATTTTCAGACTTTCAGAAACTTTTCTAAGGAGGTTACTTTTGAACTTGGATTCTAAGTTCACAAACTTTTACAAACTTTTCTATAGTTACTCGAAGATATGCTTGAGCAAAACAAAAGTGAAAACCAAGAAATTGAAAGACCTAAGGAAAAATAATGAAAAACTAACCCAGGAGTTATCTGAAAACAAACCCTAGTACGTCAATTACATAGACCTAGAGAGCTCTTGGCCCCAGTTTCAGTCAGGCATGGTCATAGCAGAGACAAGCAAGCCTGTATGGGAGTCAATGCCTGGGGTTAGAGGGGGGGAAACAGAGAGAACTGGGGGAAGGAGGGGGGGAAGGGGAGGAGGGGGAGGAAGAGAGAGAAATTGATTTGTTGTTCTACCCTCCCATGCATTCCTTGGTTGACTCTTGTATGTGCCTGGACCCAGGATCTAACCTGCAAACTTGGTGTATCAGGTCCATGCTCCAGTAGAGTAACAGGCAGGGACTTTTAAACCCTTCAAGAGTCCCTATCCCTGCTCACTGTCCCCAGACCTTGGCAGTGCCTTCAGTTCTTCACCACCTTACTGATC